AGAAGGAATGATAGACGGACGCTCTCCGTGCACAAAATCTTCCCATCGAGAACATGACGTCTTCATGTTTCTTCCTATTGGACACCTCAAAAGTGCAATGTAGAAACACGACTGAAGAGAGGTAGTTGTCGAAGGACTCACTTCTAGCACCTCGAATGTCTCACGATCGTATGGCTTTCCTGAAAGTGTAGTTGAAATTGTCGCTATCCGCCCTGAAATATGACATGCATCACAAATGGGCAAGCTATCGGTCAATCGTTCATTTGAGCAGAGTGGGTATGTGTCGAGCTCCTGTCTGAACTTGCTAGTCCATTTGGACGAAACGACTAACGAATCCCGAAAGCCGGACAGCTTACGATCCAAAACGGATAAAGCGAGTTGAAACTCTCGATCTGCTAAGCAACGTTAATAAGGTAGTGGAGCCATTTCTCCCTGCTTACCTTTCCTAGCCTTCTTAACGAATCGCTGCCGCTTTGACTGCTCAGTTGCTGCTAGATGCACAAAATACAAACATAGGTCTTAACATAAGGATATTAGCGGTGTTGCACCCATAAGCAATTCTTTGAGCTTTACTCTTGAAGTGCAGACGGAGGTCTGGTGGCGAGCCATGCTAAACTCGATTTGGATCACCACTTTTCCTCAACGTCGCCATCATCCTCAACGACAAAGCTATCCCGTCAGATTCTGGCTCATCCGATTCTGGTTTCCCTATCACTCTGGACTGTCTCCCCAGGTGGTACGGCACCCCTGAATGGTTTCAGACTATCTGAAAAGCCGGAAGAGGGAGACTCGGATCGTTCTTCCTCTTCCTTCCTAACCCTGCATGACGGAATTGTTCTCTTCGCTTTGCTTGCCTCTCTAGAATGCGTAATTAGTACCAATCAGTGCACTGAGAGACTGGGTATTCCCGCACCCTTTAGCATTTCAAGATTCCTGGAAAAGGCGGACTGCTTTAATGCTCTAGTTCTGAACCTTTGTTCAATGATCCCTGAATGTTGGAGTTAAACCCTCCGGACGATAACAGAAGTCGACCGTACGCACTGTCAGAATCTACTTCGTCCATAATATCGTCCTCATCGTCCCCGAAGAGGGTTGTTGTGGAGAAGATTGTGGTTCTGGCACGCGCCGACGTTTGACAGGCTCAGGACTACTAGGATCTGAGGATGTTGACGAGAAGATGCGTGTTTCCCATTTTCGGACTCCTTTACTTTGGACGCAGGACGAAATGAATCCGGGATAAGCCTCCTTCGCTTGAAAGGTCGCTGTGGCTTAGACGAGGATGACGAGGGTGATGACGAGGACGAGGACGTTGTGGAATTGGATAGTTCTGACGCATCAGAGCCTTAACAAACTAGTCATTGAGCACGTTCTAGCCAGGCAAAACATGGCAGCCCAATGCTTACGGCGAACATCATCGCTCTCATCTCCAGCAAGTGGACTGTCTTCACCGAAGACAGTACTCTTGCTCTTGCCTTCACGCGAGACTTAACGGGGGACTTATGCTTTCTGTTTGTTTTGCCCTCTTCGAGCTTGATCTTGGACACATATTCACTAGAGTCCGAGTCATCCGTGAAGTGATTCTCTCTTGGAAGTGGCTTCCGTCGCCGGAGACGCGCCTCCTGGCCTTCTGTAGGTGTAGGTTTGTCTACTTGAGAAGGAGCAATGTATTCCTGAATTTTCGTTTGTTTCCCGGGCCCCGAGTGCGTTTCATCTTCGCAAGTATTCTGCAACCTGGGGTAGCACAGCCACGTAACATGCGACGTTTGCCTGGAAGGGCAGGTGACCAGACTTTGAACGCTGGGGTGGCAAGCAATTCTCAACTCCCTAGCCGCGCATTGTAATATGCGTACGGTGAAATCCTCATGTACGCTTATGGCGTAGTGCAACAGGCGCAGCAAAGAATCGAAGGTTGATAGACGTAGGAGAAAATGTAGGCGATACATGCAGAACTTTTAGGCAGGACTCCAGCCTCTATGACTTCGTAATAATCAGAACTTTGGGAGCTGACTCGCAGCTGAATTGTCACCACTAACGGATTTTTTGAGTGCAGCCATCATTTTTTTTCGGGCTCCATGATATCACCAGCCTCGCGTTGCGTCACGCTGACTGCACTGCCGTGCTAAATTCCAAAGCAGCGTGCAATGTGCATCTCAAGAAACGGTTGATAATGGGTAAACGTACCGCTTGCCGCAACTGTTATCTGTTTGGCGGCCATATGAGAATGTCGAGCGAAAATGGCCGATATATAACCAGCGCTCTGTCCTCAATGTTATGCAGGCACGGAGAAGAATAGCTGGGAATTTGGCCATCTCCGCTGAATGGAAGAGAGGCGTCGTTGTCATGTAAAGTATGTACATAATTGAGCAGGAACACTAGTCCACAAAACACTGCGGCAAGCATTATGCATGACCCGGATCTGTGGACCATCTACTGCGTTTCTGTGAGAATCTGTCCGATTAAAAGTGCAAGGTATGTATGGCGAAATCACCTCTCAGTCCAATTATAACAAAAGAGCAACAGGTACCACCCAATAACGGATTCCCACAACTGGAACACTTGCGAGAATGCTGCAATCAATCCTACATAAAAACGGGCGATCTCGGGCATTATGTACTACGGGATCAGCGAACTCCGCTACAACACAGCAAGGACATGACCAATTCGAAAATGCAACACAAGGAACTTGCAGGGGAAGAGCAACCTCGCATCAACAGAAAGGAAGGTAAGCGCCAGCTATATGTTTTACTCAACCCCGGTAGTAGCCTGTAGTGTGCATAGATGATTCCTCAATTAAGTAACATTGGCGGGTTGTTGACACGACTAGCCTCAATCATCGCCTGTGGTTCCAAGTGTTACCCTAATCATCTTGCCAAGAAATGAACGTGTATTCGCTGCCCAATGCGATGTACATAAATAGGATGTGGGCTTTTCTAATGCTGAAACTCTGTATCACGTCCACAATCACCTGGGTGGCATAGCCTGAGCGTCATTCCAGGGCATTGTTGATCCCGTTGATCATCTCCCTGGTCCCTAGCAGAGCCATCACGGACAGGGACTCATGAAATGGCACAACTGCCGCACGCACCCTAAAATAGGTACTTCGTTTCGGGTAGGCTTTGCCAGGGCGAACTCTACTTTAGTAGTGGCTGGGATCCTGCCTAAGGGCGAACCCATCAGGTGTTATGGCGGAGCATGATCAGTGCAGGGCAAACTGATCAAGGGGTTTTCATGCAATGTGAGGCGATCTAGGAAATCGACATGCTGGATCCATTTTTGCAGCCAAACGGCGCTGTGGAAGCCCATCAGCCTAGCAAGCAACATGCCAACTTACCGAGAACAGCATCGCAGCAACTAAGTGCACTTTTAGTGACAGGCGATCTGCATGTGGCTGAGGATTCAGAAGAAGCGCTATCGATTCACAAAGTCCGTTCGGAAGCCTAGTTAAACGGGGTGTTTCCCGATTCAATGGGGTGAAGCGCTTTTAGAAAATGTGCTTGCCACAGTCCAATGTTGATGTTTGTGGTGTTCACGAATGGACTCTGTTCAGTGGCTTGATTCTATTCTATCAATTAAAGATGTTGCATGTTTGGCGCTCAAGACACCCCCATTTGGATGAACGACACAGGTTCGGTGTGACCCAGAATGGCTGGCGAGTGCCTGCAGATGTCCAGAATAAAACAAGGCTCCAAAATGGCGGATCATCGCTGTTTTAGCGCCTGTGACTTTACAGGACAATCAGCGCCCATTAACCACGCACTCCCGATATGATATGACCATTCAGGTCATGTGATTGTCCGATATAGAACCGACCCCTCCTAAATAGGAATATCACATGACCCGGCGGTCATTCATCCAAAACGGGCGCTCCGGTTTTTTCTTTGCACCTTGCTGCAGATGCGCCGTTTTTTTACACCTTAATTTGTCAAATGAGGAGAATATTGCATTCCCTGATTAGGACGAAGTGAGGGTTGATCGACAGAGTCGGAGTAAGGCAGGTATCTCTCGTTATCGATGACTTCCTTATGTAGGAGAACTAAACTCCTCACCCTTGCGTTCAAGACATGCAATTCATGAACTGCTATCTTTGTATAGAGGCTGGTCACCTGCCTAGTGCCTCTGGTTGTCTTTGTCGATAGACTAAACTATTGCTAGAGCGTTGGGGGTTCTAGCAGCCGGAACATGACAACTGGGGCTTCAGCTTCTCCACCTTCTCTACCGGGAACGTACTGAATGCGCTGATATATATTCATTCCATATCGCACGCATGGGTTCACCTCAATGTATGTAGCTGACTAATTATGGAATTGACCTGCTCGGTCCATGTTCCTGGTGCTCTAGCTCCAATGCTGGAGAGTTCGATTCGCAACCCACTGAAGAAAGGTCAGGTCCTGTCCCACGCTCGTACTCCCATATCGTTCCAGGGAACAATGGTCGCCGGTACCCGGATCCTCAGGGGATATAAGTGCTCGTACCGAAGTTTTGGCATTGGTCTCCTTCCCCCGCCTTTTCATTATCTTCGCTTGCGCCCGATGTCTATCCTTGATCTCACTTGGGGGGTGGCGTTGGCATTCGCTGTCTTTAGTACGGTTCTCTCTGGCATCCTTACCGTGCAGGTATGCTCTCTTCCCCTTCTGGTTGAGGACCTCGCTTGACACGCGTTGTGTGCGCCTTCGCAGGTTTGCGTCTACTCTGCGAAATTCCCACACGATTCCTTATTCGTCAAATGCACAGTAAATGGCGGGAACACCAATGGTCTGAACTATTTTAACTCATCTCGTTGCAGGTTTGGACAGTTTTGTGCGCCAGAATCCTCGCAGCATCTACGTCAATTGCTTCCTCATAATTGATAATACCCAGTATACTCGAAATTTTGCACAACAGCTTCACTTGGAGGCTCTTGCATCATTATCTGGCAAGGCGCTCGGTCACAATTCACTGTCAACAATCTCTAAATCACTATATTGTCAGATCGCTTCTTATTCGAATTTCTCCAAACTTGCTCTCGTTGAATGGTATGCAGCAATCGTGTTGTCTCATCATTTGCGTGCTTATTCATCTGCGAAAGGGGTATCACAGTAAGCAAAGTGCAACATTATTGTTAGTGGCCTCTGGTCAATGCCATAGGAAACACATTACAGCCCGCCGTGATCTTTCAGGTAGGCGAATCGGGCTTTCTGAACAACCAGTCATGTCGTTGATTAACGCCTCAGGCCACTGTCACCTGCGTTGTCCAACTGTGCGTTGCGCCACGTTGCAGCAAAATTCATTTGCTCAGCTGCTACCATCAGGTTTTATGTTAGGAGATGTTGGCTGGGTGGGTATACAATGCTGAGCTGTGTCGTGTTCTGGATGTCTCCAATTTCTTGCAGTCAATCGAAAGCATTGGGTAATCCCGATGATTACAGTATGTGATGGACACTCTATCGTGTTGGGCCCACTAAAGTTGGGGTAATTGGTTGCAGGCTTTCCTGTCATTTGGTTCCTTCAGTTCGTGCTTGTCTCATTTGGATCCAGTCCTCGGGTACTTAAAGAAAGTGTCTTCCAGGCGCAGGTTGTTGTTAGTATCCATGTGCGGTGATTTGGACGAAGTGAAAATCATGCTTACATTCTGTACCAACAAGACGCAGCCGTTGCTGCGTGAGTCGCCCGTTTTTCCTTATTCATCCTGGATACCGCTTACACCACACGTGCCCAACAGCATTCGGACGAAGAAGTACGCAAAATTTCGGAAAAATACTCCAGTTGAACCCATATGGATAGGTGCTGGAGGTCTGGCAGATATCCTGATTTTTTACTGCATTATTTCCTCGATTCGCGGATCACGAATGGGATACAAACCGTGCGTGGTCGCTTCCCAATTTGCAAGACGAGATATGGCTTACTTTCCAGGGCAGTATTGACAAGGGCCTGAGGATGCTTGGCGTGTACGCCTTTTCCACCGGGGCCGTTACCACGTATGCTCTTCCCTTGACTTTATTGGGGCGCATTAGCACTGATGGTTGGATGGACATCGCTATATAGCATTTTGAACTTCTTAACTATGTGCATGGTCCGCCATCGGCCCAGTGTTCGATACGCTCAGCATCTAACGCTCTCTCGTTTATAGTACTACCTAGAAAGTAAATCCCTTTGGCACATCGGTCTAAGCTTCGGTAAGGGCTTTTTCATTGTTATCGTCGCGCGTCAGATATAACGGTGCCTCTGTATCGATAGTGCTATCGAGATCGTATTCCATCAGTCTAATGGCCTCGTATGTGTTTGCTAGAACACGTCTGGCGAACAGCCATGCTTACTTCAGGCTTAGGCTGCATTTAAGAGGAGCCTGGACAAAAGATCCTGAGACTGAGTACATCTCGGGTACAGCTCGGAACCCTTGGTTCAAGGTAAATTTGGTCCCCTTTTGGCTCATTGTTAGCGCGCTAACTCAAAGAGAGTATTCCAGTCTAAGGATGATGGAACCGATCCCATCAGCAAGGATAGCACTGGCGGCACCAATCTGTCTGGTGGTTCAGTATGTAACACAGAACTCTTCCCGTTCCCCCTACAGGTTTGAAGTGGCAACGTTCTTGATTTCGAATGTAGGTCATCGAGATACGGCGGATGTCGCCCACTGAATATGCAAACTCTTGACTCACACATCCATCACAAATTTTCGGGCCTATGATAGTTGCTTGACCGACCAAGGGCCGGAGATTCCATGATATTTGTTTCCCCTTCGTTGTCATTGTTATTTAGATGGATTTTCTTATTCACATTCGAAACGACTTCCCTGAGTTTGTGAGAGGTGAGGGTGAGGGTGACCTTGCGGCCTATGATGATATTTTCAAACAAATGAGCAGGTGCTACTCCATGGCTCATGGTCGTGTGGTGGTGCGGCTATTCCGCCTGGTTACGCAGCAGCGTAACTATGAGGTGATCATTCACGCAGGCCAAGGCATGAAGTGTGGTCTGTTGATGTGGCAACCCGACGTAACGCGGTGACAGAGGTACGCTGCCAGGCACCCTATCGCCAATGTGGCGCACCAAGTCGTACAAAGCGCAATCGTTATCCGTACCGGTAGCGGGATGCTTGTTCCTTTTACCCTAACCTCATGTTGTTCGCCATATCCTGTACCACCTATTGTTCTGGCTGGCCACGCAAATAGGTATTTAAGCGATAGCGACTTGACCTGGGTACGGTATCTTACTATCGACTTGATATCGTACCAAGGGTACCCACTGCTGGCTGATTACATGGTCCTCGGAGTTGTGTCGTCTGGGTGTTCATCGAATGAGAGCTCCAAGTGGACTCGTTAAGTCGGGCGATGCCGACAACTGAGCGAGACTCACTGGGCCTACGCAGGTAAGTTACTGGCCAACTAAACTCGATTTGTGTTAGATACAAGAGGAGCCCTAACTATCTGACTAGTCCGTTGTCTTATATACATGCAAAAGGGAATGGCTTACATATGTGAGCGGCATCGGGCTCCAAGTCAGTTCAGTTGCACTGCCACTTCATTCCATCGAAGTGCCTGAAAGCTGGCTGTAGACATAACTCTGACGGTGACAACTTCCGAATGCTTGCAGTGACTTAGTCATTTAGCGTTATCCAAGCGAGATGGACCTTCGAAATGTCTTTGACAAACCCCAGCATCACCAGCTGGGGGACGGTGCTGCGACTGCGTCGAAAAACGAAACCTTGTACGTTCAACTTCCATCTCACCCTCCAAACGACCCTTCCGAGAAAGGCATCTCGGAGATGCGGAAAGTGCTTTCGTTGATAATAACAAGACTTCGAGACCGTGAGAAGCCACCTTCCGTCTTCGCCCAGCTTGCATCGGAGGCCGACAAGAAACATGCAAACAGAATTGATGCAATGGTTGCAAGTTTCAAAGATGCTGTAAGAAAAGCGAATGCACCGAAGCCGGACGCCTATGGTGCGGGGGGATCTGGGGATGAGGATGTTGCTGCTGACGCCTATTCTACGGATGAGACGTTGGATCTGATGACACAGCTTCGACATACATTGCTGGTGGCACGCAAAAAAGGATGGGAACTACTTCCTTCAAAGTAAGTTTGTGTTGGTTGCTGTTATGGTTGCATATTTAGTGACGATCTTCAGAGCACCCCCCCAAGCACCCTCGGACCGCTCGAGAACCAAGTCGCCGACACCTAGGCCTTCCCCGTTTCGGAGGAGGAAGACCACCCCTGAGCGTGCACAGTCTTCAGAGTTGGCTTATGACGAGGCTGATATACGATCCGCATGTCTCGATCTCGTCGCCCAAATTGTCGAAGAAGATTGTCGCTATAGAGTACAGAACCCCAGGCTCAAGGCGCCCCCTCACGCTCTACAGGCAGTGACCCTAGATGTGGCATTAGCAGTATTGGAACCAGAGCCAAAACCTCATACACTCTCAGCTGTCGCTTTTGCTTTAATCCCTGGATTCTACACATTTCACCCTCGCTTCCATTCTCGGCTGCTACAGTTCTTCGAGGAAGCAATTCTCGGGACACTCTTGGAGTTGCTGCAGAAAACTCAAGGATCATATCAGTTGTTGATGGAATCTACCAAGGGTGCGGATCGTCATTTCCACGCTCGCGATCAATGGTTTAACTGATTCAGGGTTCTCATCAGCACTGGAATTTAGCGCGCTCACGTCTACCCCCACTATTGCTATTTCCATCGAAGGAGAGGGAAAAAGAACATCGTCCCATTCTTTATGGTCAGCCACTGGCTCAAACCTCCGCATATTGAGTACCACAGCTCCATTTCAAGCTATGGACATCTATCGTCTAGGCTCCGTGGTGCCGCCTTTGCTATCTGCTGTTCTCGACTGTGTGGAGATCAACGATTCGTCCGTAGAATCTCTTGAACTGTTCCGTGCTGTTCGTGTTCTTGAGATGATTGCAGCAGGGAAGCTGGACAGCTATCTTGACTTGCTGCAAGTAATTGCGTACCATTCGAGCGAGGCTCGGTATCGTGCATATTCTGTCCTTGCGTCTTTTTGGCCAGAGGTTATTGGTCATGTCACTGCATCCGTCCCTTTCCCTGTTGTTTCAAAGCCACCGCGCCCCAGGGACGTGAAACGTCTGAAAGTGCATGGGAACGATAATCCCTTTGATCATCAGTTTATACCATGGAGATTTCAAGCGCTCATTCGGCGGTCGACTGTGGCTACGACTGGAGGTCCTTCTGCGTTGACAACTGATTACCCAACTTCCTGTCAGGTTTGCAATGAATCCATTAGTGGTTTCGGTTTGAAATGTGTGCTCTGCCCATGTGCACTTCATTTCATGTGCTATGACTCCCCCGCTGGTAGTTTCTTTTCGCAGTATCCATCAGCGCAAGATTCAGAGACACAGCGATTGGCAGTCACCCGATTTTCGCGCATTTTACCGAGACGCAAAGGCGAGTTGGACTGTGTCTCAATCAACAATCACCACTTCCACATTGTGGGTCTTCCCCCCTTATCTCACTAACACAACCTTATGAGTTATTAGGTGAACTTGTTTACCTTAACGCTTTGTTTCGTATGTCGATTACCTATTTGGGGTTGTACATTGCAAGGTTTGCGCTGCGACAAGTGCCACCTGTTCGGTTGGTAGCTGACTTCGCCGAATCAATCCCCTATCCCCTGCTGATCCTTTTGGAAGTGCACCATACTTGTATAAGCGACCAGTTCAACGAGTGCAACGCGAGCCCTCCTACGTCTAAGCTCGTCACCATCGATTGGACTGACATGCGCAAATCATTTGTCGCCCACTATTTTGACGTTCTTCTGACAGAAGAACAGATTTACAGCCATTCTTTTGAGGACATTTCTATTCTTCAAGGTGTTCTATGGACTCAGCTGCAAATACTTATGAACGGCATTGCCTCTGGATCTATCATCATAGAACAACCCAGTCCCTCCACTGATCTTGGTAGAGAGAACCGTGTGGAGGAATTTGAGCTGCAATACTGCGTCAGAATCTACGAGGCTTATCTTGCCTCTGGCCGTAATCCAAAGTCATCACCCTTGGAATATTATCAGCGCTTGCACCGATCATCCGTTGACACGTCTATCCTGTTTGATTGGTCATTACTGCTGTATATAGTCGCCACCTCCAAGTGTCCACCGGCTGCTTACAGTGGTCCAGATCCTGGAGGTTTACTCAGCGTCCAAACTACCCTCCCACCTCATCCACCCTCTCCACCGCAAGTATCAGAAATTGTGTCTCTAGCTCACATTCGTGATGTTTTGGGATCGGAGATGAATGTGAAGTCTGATGTCGCAGCTAAGCATTTGTTGCGGCACGTTCATACTCTAGGTTTCTTTCGGAGAGTCGATGGACAGTTTAGATTATTTGATGACAGGGATGCGCCCCCAAACCAGATTTTCTGCATATTTCCTCTCCCAGTTCTTCTGGATACATCCGTGGATGTCGAGACCTTGGTCGCTGCGATTGAAGCATCCCTCGCGGATATCGATCTTTCGGTGAACGAGTCGGCATTACTGCTCCTGAATCAGCGTTGTCCGCCAAACATATGGGCTTCCGAGTACGGTTTAGGTCGTCTAGCCCGAGCAATACTCTCTTGGATTTGTACGGATGTCAGTTGCTTCTCTTGTCCCAGTTTTGTCCTTCCACTCTAAATGGCCCATCAGGATGATCGCCTTATTCGAGTTGCAACTGAATTTGCCTCTCAGAAACGCCCCCTCCCAGGCGTCCTACCGGCATCTACGGCTCATTTGTGGCCCCCGCTTCCGGTATCACGTCCGGAAACATTAAACTCCTCCACCAGTGGCGGAGAGTATGTCAGTGCAAGACGTGTGCTGCTGAATCGATATATTGTCCCTTGGATGCGGGCCCTACATGCGTTGGACGCAAATTCTTACGCTGGCATCCTGTTTGATTTCTGCCGAAGTCAAGCGGCGGAGAAATGGAGTGACCCCATTTCTCTTGAGGATGATGTCCGTGCTTCCATTGTACGCAAAGTCCCCCAATGGTGTAGTGCGTTCACTAAAATACCACTAGAATTCGACAGATTTAGGCGATGAGATGCTGCGTATTATCCTGAAACTTTGTCACTCCTCTGTCATATTATCATGCTTCGACGCGGTATTTGTATCCTGGTTGGATGCTGTCTCTGGCATGAATTCGAATATTCAGGTGGGTTTCTCCGCATCTTCAAGAATTAGGCCCACCTTGTAACTACTATTACAGCCGGTACCATATCCATTCCTGCCAAGGCTCTTCAATATGGATGCGGAGGCTTTACATTATGCCTCCCAGAGTGAAAAGCCAGCCGCGACCGAGCTCAACGATGGCTGGCAGGTAGATCCATGGAAGGTGATCACCGATGGTGCTGCGGAAGGTCCTTCAGGAATGCAACGCACTCTTCGATGGCTGGAATTGCTCGCACGTTCGGGTGTGAGCATACCCGTTTCGACCTACAAGCAGATGGCTGCATACTTGCGTGACTCAGACGCAGCGTTTGAAATGCACCAAGCTCTCACAAGGTGCTTCACAGCGACTTGCTGGCTGAAATCGCACGGAGCTCAGGATCTCCTTGGTTTGATTGCTACCATTCATGACCGACTAGCGGGATGGATATCAATCAATTATGTCCACGATGATAAGCGTGACAAAATGTGAGTAATTCAAACACTGGGTATGGTTGCTCCATATTCTCACAAACAATCAGCGATAATTTCATCCGGTTAAGCATGGCAGCGTGCCTCCTTTTGTACGGATTCGATCGAGAATATGTGGTTTCCATAGGCTTAATAGAGCCGTCGGAACAACGTGATTTTCCAACAAGGTACTAATTAGCTTTTCTGACAAGGGTTTGTGCAATGGAGAAGTTGAGTGATTGACACAGGCGGAAATTTACTGGCTTTGGTGCCATCGAATCTGCGACGTTAGCTCTGAATATTGAACTAGTGAACATTCTGTCCCGTTATGTGACCTTTCTTAGACCAGAGATTTCGGTACTGGTCGCCGCATTTTTGGATTCAGTCGTTTCAGACTCTTCGCCATTGGGGAAAAACGAGGTGGATAGCTTCATTACTATCAATGCCTATGCGTTGAATACCTGGTAGGAACGAACCAGTTGCTGTGTGTACCCCTGCAGTTCAACTTCATCTTCTTTAGTGTTTGGTCGTTTTATGGCTTGCAACTGCCGAAATTGAGCCTCATCCGGTCGCCTTTATTGCTCAAACTCCTCATCGTTGATTCAAAACCCATGGAGATGATCATTACAGAGACGCTCAGTGACCCAGACTCTGGACATAGGTATTGGGATTTCACCATTTTCATTATTGCATGGCAATCTGACTCGGGGCAGACAGCTGGCTATTCAAAAAATGCATCTTATTTCTCTTGACATAAACTCTGAACCCTTCCAAATGGAGGATCGTCAATGGCGACATTGTGTTGTCCCGGTGCTTCGTCTGTTCTTTGCGTCTTTGTGGAACGACCCATCCGTACGTTGAGGCTCAGCAGTTCCGAGAGTTGCATGAAGTAACTGCTTTTCTTTAGGAAGAAAATAGACAAATAGTTGATGTCGGTGAGCATCTAGGCGACCTGTCAGATGTTTCTTCCCTCACTTCATTTTAGCCTGCCAATCATTCCTACAAGTGCATCTCGACGCCATTTCCAGGTGCTGGGATGAATCCCTCCTGAAAGCACCCATTGGGGAACGAGTTCGACTTGTCAGGTTTCTCCTTCGGCTTCATCCTTATTTTCCTACTTGGAGGGTTCTCTCATGGGACGCAATAGTTGATTCGATGCTAGAAGATGATCTTATCAGCTCGCACGGTGTAGATGACGGAAGCAACATCATCGCGCAAATTGTGAGTTAGTAGGTCACAGACTCGCCCATTTGTTAAATCAGATCGCAGTTTTCTCCAGAAATCATCGAAGAGCCCTCGAACGAGTCTGATATGACATTGTTACGAGTGAGTTTGGTGTTTCTAGCGTTCGCATATTCTCATCATCTGGAACAGACCTTGCTTGTATCGCTGAGTTTGCAGTTCATTGGTGATGGTATACGAGTTGGTACGTCAATTGAAAACATATCCTGCAACTAATGCTGAATTGACTTCAAAGATGTGTTCACTGTTCTCAAGATTAAGCATCATCTTGTCCGTACTCCAAGCTTCCGTCCCGTCATCCTCTGATTGGCAATTCTATCATAGGCAAGAGTGCTCTCATTCTCTGAATCTCGTCTCATGCAAAACGTAAACGGGACGGTTCATATCCATCTAGGATCCATAACATCCATTCCTCCTACGGCTTATCCATGTATAAGTAGCCTGAAGCGAGCTATTGACGGACCAGGGATGGTAGATCTTGCTCCATCCGCAATGGGTTTTAAAACCGTCACCGAAGCCAATGCACCCTGCCTAGCCGGGAGTGTATTCGATGACATTGTGATAGCGGTTATTACTTCTATTGACGTTGTTCAGCTGCCCTATCTGGTTGCGCGATCTTGGCTGGAAATCGTCGTCATCATTATTCTCAAGGCATGCTTCTCTCTTGTGTGCAATGCGTCGCAGGCTGATTCTTCCCAAGCACGATTTTGACCATCCGGCATTGCATCCCTTGAATTCGAGGCTTGTCGACACCGTAAAAAGACTGGTTGACAACATTCGCAAGGATGTCAACCAAGAACTTTGTCAATTATCCCTGTCCGTTTCTCATGCCCTGCTGCAAACGAGGGGGAATTGGGCCACTAAGATATTGAGGTATTGGGCAGTCTGTGTATGCAAATCGTCTGGTCATTGAAGTGCCACTTAGCCGTCAGATATTCGCAATCTCTTCCATGGTTGTCGACTTAGATCTGAAGCCGGAGCACGTATTAGTTGCTCAAGGAATCGCATTTCTGGAATCAGCGTTCGAGAAGTGAGTAATGGTGATCTCAGTTTTCGATAGGAAGCTGATTCGGGGTAGATTCGTTACTTCCGGATTATTCAAGTCATTATTCAAGGCAATGTTTAGTCTTCATAATTTTTTGAACAGGTTAATCTAATTAATAATACAGAATGATCCTCTTCCGCATCGGTTTTTTGATGTTCTCTCAACAATTATCAAGTCATCTGCTTCGCAATCGGAGGAAACACTGCCCAATGAGATTATCCGGACTGTGCTGGAGAAAATGTTTGATCTTCGAGAGGGCGAAACTGACCGAGATCTCTTTGCATCTGTCGGGCCCATCATTCGTAATCTTGCCGATTTTGTCGTGCGTGTTCACCACAAGAATCTCTCAAATCGCTTACTACAAGGTACCCCTAAGAGTGTTCATCGGTTTGACCCACCCTCTTAATTGCCCGCTAGATATTGCGTTGGGCCTAACGAATATAGCTCGAAAAACTGCAGAGTGGCCATCCTCGGCCTTCAACCCAAATCCCCTTTTTTTCATGGTTACCACCATCATACAGCACAATAAGGCTCGATGCAAGGTGAACCTGACTAGACTAAATTTGCCCTTAAGCCTCGCTCATTGTTGGTCGCGAAGGACATTCTACTTCATCTGGAAACATTACTGAGAGCATGCCTCGTGCGCTTCGATGTGCACGAGGAGAGTTTAGACTACCTATTCAAGGTCACTGGGAGTTTGATTTCCAGAACGAATAGTGTGCAGTTTGACTTACCCCCTCAACACCTTCCCCTTGCTGTGGTGGACACATTGGTTGAAGAATTGAAGGGCCGCGGTCGTTCATCAGTCGCAACATTGCTAGCGATGCTTCGCGTAAGTGCCAGCATACTGATTCGGGCAGCGGATTGACGGTGCTTGCAGACTGTTTCCGCCTGTTTGATCTCGGATCCTTCCATATTTACAGCAGACGCGCAATGGAGGCTTGCTAACTCCGCTGCAGCCTACTTGGAGTTATCTCATGCAACGGAGCGTTTCACAGATTATCATTTCAAATGCTTGGTCGTCGTCAGTCACATCGTGCTTACGGCCTCTGAAGAGCCTTTTGGTAACAGCATCATAAATGATGTGATGGGCAGCGTAAGATATGCACCCGATTGTTTCTGCCAATTCTGACTTGACGCCTATCAGAATTCCAACAGGAATGACGTCTCCCTAAGATGCTGGGCTGCACTAGGGCTTGCTGCACTGGAGACGCCCCGACACCGGTTAACCATGCTCCAGCATGTCGCCAATTTTGGGCTCTCATACTCCAAGACCCTGCAGCATCTTGCATATCCTGAAGCGGTTTCAGGATGGGCCCCAGTTGCTGCTGCAGCTATGAGCAGCGCCTTTGCAGCAATGAAAATTTGGATTCTCTTAGCATGGAACGAAGACGTTCTAATTGAGGAACCTGACGAGGCCTGTAGTTTCGAGCGCATAGTCTGGAATGAAGTATGGCCTCCTTTCGAGAAGGTTATCAATGTTTCCATGTCCTCATCTTTTGATCCGTCTTTGGTAAGAGTGCCAGATTGTGAGTTTTATTTGCGGTGACGGTTCTCGCTTGCAGCCAATTACTTCTGTGATTTGGGGATCCTATGTGGATCTGGTCATCTTCCTGATGAGCTATCGCTCCATTCTCATGGTGGATACGTCTGTCACGCATGCGCTCTTATTGGAGAAGCTCTCTGCTACTACTTCTGATGCAATGCACCAGAAAGTGAGTTATGAGCCCACTTTAGTTCCCAGTCGCTAAAGCTCCTACTTTGCTACAGCTTGCTCGAGCGTTGCAGGCAATCCAACATCCTCCACCTCAAGTTCCCCGCGCACAACTTATTAACAGGGCCAGATCTGACCTTCTGGCATCAGAGAAGTTGACGCAGCGTCTCCAGATACTGGGTCCAAAAGAACAAGTTGTCAAGAGAGCCACAGGATAGGCGGAGGGACCATAGAACTAGTTAATACATATTTCGGAATCGTCAGAACAACGCAGATGATAATACATGGACTGAATCCATTTAGATTCCATGTTGCTTTTCGATCAATCTACCAGTGTCCATCATGCCTTGACCAGGACTTCGCCTTGGAATAATCGACGAGCTGTGCGGACATAATTGATTGACTTGGGCTGCCCATGAATATCCAATGCAACGGTGGCCTTCGACAGCCCTGCAGGCTGTCCAACAGTGATTGATCGGAAGGACATATTCTTCTCCTGAGGCAGCACTGATGCCTGGCATGCATCCCAGACAACGGAACCAGGAAGCACAGAGGCCACTGCTAGGGCTGACACCATGGTGGCTGGTACGGTCCGATGGAAGTTACCAACACTGACGGCACGAATCCTGAACAATATAGCTAAGCTCCTAGGAAGGACACACGCTCGAACGCGTGGGCTTACACGCAGTCCATTTGGTTTGATCTCAGCTCCTCCCCGCTTGTCGTCCGGTAACTAGCAGGAGAACCAATAACACAGATTTTTGGGGTCGATGTGGAGAAGATAGAGGAGAGTGCAGGGCTAAGACGGCTCGCGGCATAGCGCAGCTCTTCTGCTCGCGCTCTGAACCGGGGGTCGGCATCAAGGTCTGCCGGATGCGAGAGAAACCATTCTGGGACACTGAAGACAGCAGACGATGGGATGAAAATTGAGGGTAATCCGGCATCAACGATTGTGCAAGGTATCTGTAGGAATCCGGTGAGTTGAAGGTGCAATTTCCACGCATGAGTCCGGACAAACAGATTTGCCCTCCATAGGTATTGCGTCAAGTACTCGCCCGGTAGGAAGCATATTCCCTTGAAGCGGGTTTTCTATCTCAACGGGTGATGACGTACTTGGCACGCCCGAGATACTTGCGCCTCCAAAATTTGATACATACCAGCGGAGGCGACCCGACTCCAGAGATCCGGGAGTGCAGACCACTGTAGTTGCGTGAATAATCTTGCCGCTATCTGCTGCTAAGATCCTCGTTGCGAAAGGGAAGCGCTCTGGGGGTGTCTGCCCTTGAATCGAAGCTTCAATACGCTTTTGGACCAAACCTTCATCTACGGCATACTAGATCCCGACAGAGGTCAGTGACTGATACTCTCCACCACAACTAGGTCTCATTACCTGTGCGACCGCAGCCACAAGGTTCCCGCAAGTACTGCTCCAGTCAACCACAAAATCTCGCACTCCCACTTGGGCAAAACGATACACCACATCCCATCCACTCCTCTCGCTAGATGCACGCGATACATCATCCACCCAGTCAACGCCATCCGGAAAGGAATATTCCGGGCCTCTAGACATCTCGGAGACAGCCTCTCCAGGTGTCGAAAGCACTACGGCTTTAGACAAGGAAGATATGCCTCCACCCATGCCATCTATCTGGCGGCCATCGGGGTCAGGGGAGCCTAAAGATCTGACAGAAGGAATTTATCAAGTGGTCTTAAAACTATACTCCCATACCCATAGCTGAAAGCAGTATCTCATTCCGCATTGACTGAGGGAATGGGGCTAAATCTGAAGCCCGGAAGAACAGACCCTTGCTGAAGATCCGGGGATGAGATGAGGAAGCACAGGTCTAGGTCATAATACCTAGTTCCACCACGATAGAATGAGGCCTTGATAGCTCGCAGCATTAGGATTTGGCAGACGTCAGCGTTCACTGGATCCCAGGTTGCCGCTCTGATTGTTTGTAGTTGTTGCTCTTAGTAATAAATAAACAAGCATCAACAACACGTCCCTCTCATTTGAGGAATCGCGTTCCGTTGTCGCTCGGCATCCTCGTAGGCGTATGTGTTCATCGCGAATTTTAATCGCTATGCTCATGCACTTTTTCCATGCACCAGCAACCCTGCAATGCACAACAATATTGTTCATGTCACTCTTTATGTCGCTCTCTTCTTTAAGCAAATTTGGTCTCAGGGCTCACCTCTAAGTGAGGACGCGGCATCCGTAGAAATTCATGGAACTCCGCCTTTTTCATCATCTTTGCCTCTTCAAAGAACTAATGGGCTCTTGTTTCTGTCGAGTGCCTCCGTCCCAACTTCCTGGAGCTCGCTGCATACACGCGTCATGGCCACGTCTACTGCTGCTCTGATCCCCTCGAAGACTTTCAGTTACCTCTCGGACTCTTCTTCAATAGTTACTGGCTCCCACCACGATCCTGTTCCCTTGAAGACGGTTCCCAATCAGTCTGACAGCTTTCTCTCAATCCCCTCGGAGTCTAAGACAGCATCTCCTACTTATCCTTCACCTGATACTGCGGCAGCGATCCCTACAACGCAAACCCATCAATACCCAGCTCCTTCACTTCTCGCGATCTCCCTATTGGCACCATCCTACAGTAACTATCATCCCTCCGCAACCTCTAATTCTGCCTCTGTTCTTCAGACAAATACAGATGCGTCAACTAGCGAAAACATATCCACTTCTCCATCTCGGTCAGCAATTGCTGTTTTGGCGGTCTTTGCTATCCTTACTGCTTTTATCGTCGCTATCTTTCTATTCCAGAAATACCGGTCTAGAAAACAGCCCTCTGACGAAGATTACTGGGCGATCTATGGCAACTCCAGAAGTAAGGACAAAGAAAAACACCTACCATACTCCATCAGTTATCCTATCCCCGCTAATGATGATCACTACTCGCATGCCCTTGAGGATACGTCGATCATTGAAAAGGGAGAATCGCCTCTCTCTGAGTCTCATCAAGTTTCAAAAGCAACTCCCTACCGAGACATCGACAATCAGACATATCCAAGGTCATTCATGACAACCTTGGGCGGAAGGATGGATACGGATGGTTATGTCTTTGTGACAGAACTGCCGTCCGCATGCAAAATCGCGGGGAGGAACACGAGCGCAGTGTCACGGAACTAGGATGGAAATATCCATAAATTCTGGAAGTTCATCATGATTAGAGCCAAAATATCACTTGGGAACAAGCATGACGAAGCGAGCGGTGCACTCCGTAGTGAGTCCTGCAAATTTAGGACAGCGTCCTCTGTAACCTACGGTCCACTTTCCCCATCATGACAATACGACAACAATATGATTCGAACAACTCCGCTACGTCCTCATTTCTCACCATCGCATGCCTTCCTTCCACGCCATCTTTTATGGGGGATTTTGGTTTTGTTTTCGGTTTCGGTTTTTGGTTTTTGGTACGGACCAACGAGGTCGGCTGCAGTGCAGCGGAGTTGGCCGGATTTATTCGTCTATTCGTCTATACGCTTATTGTTGAGTGTACTTCCCAATCTGCAAACAAACCGCTACCTTGCAGTTAATTCTGTTGCTCCTTTATGAGAGGAATAAATTCCGCCAACTCCGCTACACTGCAGCTACAGTAGACACCCCCTGACGCGACAGAACCCCTAACGTTTGACCCGCTTTGGTACACTCCCCATCTCCACGTCATGCCTAGCCACGATTTTGAGGTTCGAGGACCACTCACCTGGCTGAGAGGAACAGCGGAATGGCGTCGATGGCACGCGGTACCCAAGGCACGATGATTTCAAGGCTTCAGGTTTCTCTGCCTGTCTCACACCGCTCGCGGATGATTTTCGCATTTACTATATGGAATGACACGAGTGCCTCAGACATCAATTTTGTCAAACGGGATAGCCAGACATTTTCCAGGCAATGAAGGTTTCTACGCAAACCAGCAGAAAACGGAAGAGGCCATGCAAACATGGAAATGGAGAAAATTCTTAGATGAAAAAAACGACGCTGTGGTGATGGTCTCTATCACTCACAGAGACCGTCAAGGCGATTCACCGTAACACTGCCCCGCCTTACATTTCACTTTTCCCTCTGCAATCCTCACTAGGACTCGTGCAGTCCATCTGGTCCTCGTTCGTCGTGGAAAAGAGTGGGCCTTTCTTCGCTACAGGACTCTGGAGTTCATCTTCTGCCGATCCCTTGCTTCCGATTGAGAAGCTGGGTCCACAGTGCGCACGAAGTGTGATTGGCCTACGATTTCCGCGGCCAGTATTTCGTGCTCGAGAAGCGTTGATGTTCCAGTATGTGGCTCATTGATCCGTCGAGTAAACACTTAGGACAAATGCCCTCTTTGAGTCACTTCCAATTCTTCGCGCAGAATGTTGTGGCCGTGCATCAAATGTTCCGATGTCCACGAATTCGCTTTGAGCGATGGGAGATGGAATAGCTCGTCGCAAATGGCCATCCGGATCCCAGTGTGGATTCGACAATATGGTAGGATGGACAGCAGCTTCGGCAGTAGAACTGCCTTCTGTGGATGTTGAGGGCTCTATCCAGCATGCACTCAGTGATGTGGGAGAATTGGCACAAGATTGGGACGTGCTTTCGAACGAGACTGATTTTCTTGCACGCTTTGGTCATCGGTGAGCGGGCCTCCTTGGATAGTACCAGGTGGAGAGAAGGGGGGAAGGGATGAGAGTGCTCGAAAATATTGGGTGGCTCTGGGTTATGGAGAATTGGTAATGTGATCTTGACATCAATCAGGGTCGAAAAATTGGCAGGACCCGCTACAGAGTGGTGGGAATTAACACTGCGCATTCCTCTTCGTCACTCATTCCAGTCTCAGTAAGAAACACGATTATTTCTCCACACACTATATATGGGTTTCTTTGCAACGAACCACGCACCCCCAATACCAATCAGCACAGAGTTTCAAAAGACACCAAGTGCTCGATCTCATTCATTGAACAATCCCACCTGGGTGAACCTAGCTATCTTAATTTGACTCTGAAGTTCCGAAATTTCCTTCGTACCAATTATGGACTACATAACATTGATGGATCTGAGGCGAATTGGGTATGTTGACTCATTGCAGTGCACATCAAATGAGCGTCATCATCCTGGCTTCTCATTGTCTCGCTTTAGGTGATTCCACGGCACTACTACAAGATCCGATATCAACCTTTCGACGATGGAAGTTGGGGTGAAGAATTCGTACGGACAAACAAGATCTTCCATGGGCATCATAGAGATGATGCCATAATGATGCGGGACGTATCTGGGGGTATGACCTTTGCTCGAGTCCATGCACTACTTGAAATAGCTGTGGGATCCTCTCAGTGTCTCATCGCGTTGGTGTCTGACCTCCAAATGGTTTCGCTCTCCGAGTATACAGCACAAGACTGAGCTACTGGATTCACACTGCTCCGACTCGATAACTGTTGACGTAGCAACCTGACATGGCGCACCGAGTCACGCATATTGTGACTACCCGCACTGGCGGCGGGATGGATCTTATTATCTCTCTAACCTCACGTTGCGCGCCACTTTGTATCTCTTTTATCTTGGTTGGCCAAACATGTATATAATGTCCGCGACTTGGCCAGAACACGATATCTAACTATCGGATTGATATCGCGCTCAGGCAAGTTACCGACTACTTGACTTTGTATCTAAAATATCTAACTATCAAATTGATATCGCGTTCAGACACCTGCTGGCTGATAACAATAACACCCAAATTTGCGTTTTGTGCCGGTGACGGACTTCACTCGGCGGGCATTTTTGGGCCCTATGTCTGACCCACAGCGGGCTTTTCACTATTTACTTAACGATATCATTGATACAGACATGTTTTTCCGCTTGAACGGTTGGTATCCGCCAACATATAATATTTCGGGTCCCTCGGACAACTAATTTGCCTGAGTCGGAACACCATACTGTACAATATCCACATCTCCGTCTGTTGTAAACGCGGCGTTCCATATATGGCAACCCACTTCAGCGGTTTACTCGCAACCCGGATGTAATATAGAAATGAGAAGAAACTGTAACTAACTAAAGAACATATGGTGCTAAAGCACCCATATTTATACTCCTGAATAACATTCCAGGCTCTTCCATGCTCAGCGCTTACGCAGGCGCCTAGTAACCTATAGAATATTCTCGGATATTCCGGTTCAATCTAATCATGTGACTCGTATTCCAACATTCCCCCTCGAGTCACATACTCCTTCCGGCAATTTTCCTGATCCAGAAATCCAGCCCTGTACGGCAAATTTCTAATTTTCCCTTTGTCCTTGATCCAAAAACCTGCCCTGTACGACAAATTCGAAGCGCCCGGAATCGATCACGTTCTCGTCCTCCGATATTTTCCCGTCCTATACAGTCCTGACAGCGTTCGGATCCTTCCGTTCCCAATTTAGAAAGAGGTCACATGACGGCACTCCTGTTTCCATTTGGGGCCTCCCTATTATTCTCTCGGCTGGGATACCGGTATCCTCCTTCAACATATTGGCCTCTCTTTGGCCTGCTTTCCTGTAAGGTCGGTTGAGGTTCCGACCTTGGTGTTGACTCCTACTATCCTCAAGCTGTCAGGAATTAGGCAGTATAGAGCTGTAATTTCGACAGGGGAGGAGAAGAGTGAAAACCTGTTTCACTCTTCCCCGCAATTTATATACATTGTTTACATCGAGAAATAAAGAGTAATAAACAATGAATAAAGAAAGCGTGCACAGCACGCATCACCACACATCCATTCCCTACATTTCCCCCTGCATCGAATATCCCCAAACCATCTCCATCCTTGCTCCCTACCCTCTGAGAACGTCCATCCATTCCTTCTGGGTTATATTAGGATGTTAGCGATTTACGCTAGCGTTTTACGCTCAGTCAATCGTTGTTGAACTAATTAGATTGGAACTAATTACCTAGCGTTTTACGCTAGGGCACATGAGGGTACATGAGTGACAAGATAAATGTGTGGTAAAAGCGCAGTCTCACCTCAGTCAATCGTTGTTGAACTGAAGGAGACGAAAGTGAAAAAATTGTTCACTGCTTTTATAAGCAGTCGCCTCAATGGCGCACTTTCTTGGTAGCAGGAATACCAAGAAAGGAAATATAGCGCCGCTAGCTCAACATCACATTGTGAGTTGGCCACAGTGCACTATAACTCCCAAGAAAACCAAGATTTCAACACACCCACTCGATGTGGCTACTCACACAGTCCCATCGCTGTTCTAAACTTCGAATGTTTGGCGTACGCGAGAGCCTTCGTCAATACGTCGGCTACTTGATCATCGGTAGGGATGTATTGTAAAGAAATCGTGTGATCTTCTACTTGATCGCGAATAAAGTGATGTCGGACGCCAATATGTTTCGTTCGTGCGTGAAATGCGGGATTGGTGGCAAGCGCGATAGCGCCTTGATTGTCGACAAGGAGGGTGGTTGGGTCGGAAGGAGGGAAGTTAAGGTCGCGTAGAAACTGTTGAATCCAGAGCGCTTCTTTAGTTGCATGGGTAACAGCCATATACTCGCCTTCGGTACTCGAGAGCGCCACCGACGTCTGTTTCTTTGAACTCCAGCTTACCACTGCTCCAGCCATGGTAAAAACGAATCCAGAAATAGATCGAGAATCTCTCGGATCTCCAGCCCAATCCGAATCGGAATAGCCAGTCTTGTCGCTAGACTTCGAATTACTGTCGTAGACCAATTTGAAATGTTTCATAGCATTGAGGTAGCGTAGTAGACGATTGATAGCGGCCCAATGCCCTTCTCCTGGATTGGAAGAATATTGGCTGAGTATGGTGATGGCGAAGCTGATGTCTGGTCGAGTTCCTAGCATCGCGTACATTACCGAACCAATTCGGGATTGGTATTCGCGAGCGTTGATGTCAGGGTCAGAGCTTTCGTGGCGAGTGAGTTTGAGATTCGGCATCATAGGAGTCGAGACTGTACGAGAGGTGCTAAATCCAAAGCGATCGACAACCTCGGATATGTAGCGAGATTGAGAGACAAAAATTAAGCGCCTTTGGCGCTTGCGCGTGATTTCCAGTCCAAGGAACCAATGAATTTCCCCCAAGTCCTTCATCTTAAATGTGGACATTAGCTGCTTCTTCTTCTTTCGAAGAAGGGGAAGGTGGTTGGAAAGGATCATTAAGTCATCAACATAAAGAGCGACGATGCAAAAATG